TTCTCGGCATGGGCATCCCTCTTTCTCCTCAGGCGGGCGACAAGGGCGCGGATCCACCGCCAGGCAAGCCAATTCATCGTCCAGGTGGACCGGCTCTTCGCCAATCCGGAGGCTGCCGGTGTCGAATTTGCAGCAGTGGAGCTCGGGCAGCAGCGAGACGATCTTGCTCCACGGCCAGGTCGCCAAGCTCCGGATCGAGGAGAGGTACATGAGCGAGGAGGTGGAAACAGAGGGTGTGGAGAGGCTGGCGCTCAGCCAAATCCTCAAGGAATTCTCGGCGGCCACGGCCGCGGCAGCGCAGCAGCAGCACGAGGAATTGATCCGGCCGGTGCTCATGCCATCGCCGCTGGGGCTCCAGCGGACGTTCGCGGCCTCTGGATGAAAGAATCTCCCAAATCCCCCTCTAGGATCATAAAAAGGGAAGCTTTCTCATCTTCTCTTGTTCTCGGGGGAGAGCTTTGTAAATTATGGTGACTTCTACACAGCAGCAGCATAGGATCATAGCGAGCGAGGTCTGGGCGGGCGTTGTAGCTTCCATGGATCACTCACAGGAAAGAGGGAAAAAAAAAAAAAAACAAAGACCCTGTTTTTGCTAATTGTTTTCTTCTTCTCAGTGTTAGTGTGATCTAGAGAGAAGGTTCCATGTACACAATTGACAATGCCCGGAAGATCATCCTTTTCCATCTCTCAATAAAAAGGAAACCTCACTCTCCTCTTCGCTATTGATTTGATTTGAGAACTTCTCGTTTGTTTTTTTCTCTCCCACGTGTTTTCCTACGGTGAGAATATCCCGGAATCTTCCCCTTTTTTAAAGGTAGCGCTGAAGGAAATCGGGAGCGCTAAAGGAGATCGAGCGGAGAGGAAAGAGAAAAAATGCCGTGCTTGCTCGCGCTTCGCTGCGAGATTGCCACTCACAGTCCGCATGAATCGGCTGTGGATCCAAAGCGGTGGGCGATTGGAGCGAATCCGGCAGCATTGCGGAGCCTCAATCCAATCCGGAGAGCGATGGAATCCATGCCGACGGTCCAGGGGCGAGGAAAGAAGCCAATTTCGCTCACTCTCGGCGACCCCTGCGCTTTCGGCGAGATCAAAGCTCCCCAGGTAGCCGTCCAGGCGCTCACGGACGCCATCTCCGGCTTCCACTACAATGGCTACAGCCAAGCAGCTGGAATCTACGACTGCCGCAGGTAAAGACAGATTAAAAAAAAAGAAGAAAAAGAGCACTGTTAGATCGACG